ACCCGCCGTCTGCCATATTGATCTTCGGCACACAGCTTGACTTCTCAATAATACTTAATGAAAGTAATGCTTTCAGATTTTATTTCGACGGGTATAAAAAAGTGTACTCCCAACTACTCAGTTGTTAGCAACAGTCTGGAAGTCGATATTCTTTGGCTTCTTTCAGCGAACCTCCAGGACGAGTACGAGTAACCAACGAAAGCCCTTGCAAAAATCTTCCAAGAAGATGAAAACCCACGCCTTCTTGACAAAAAAATACTTCGGGTTGGGGTTGGGGTGAAACTAATACCGTATTTTCGTCATGATCGAGAAGCAGAAAGGTAAGCGACACCACTTATCCATTATCTCCACTTTCCTCTATCATTGGCACCTTATCTAATCACTACAAGAATGGACAGATACATATCATTCTACTTCGTCATCTTTTTATTAATTCAGATCCTCGTGAGTTATCAGGTCTCGAATTTCCTTGATTGTGCACCGATCTTAGTAACTAAAGATGCGAGACAAACTTTACGACAACGTCAAATCGGATCTGCAGTCGCTTCCATTAGGGGATCGCAGACTAAATTTTTGTTGAAAGAGCCTCGAGGAAACGTAATAATCGAAACTGCTGCTGTTTCAGAAAGCGGATCGCAGACTGCGCCTTCGACGAACAAACTTCAAGGAAATTCTCAGGGTGTCAGTAAAGAAAAAAATACCTTATCGGAATACCAGAAATCGTTGAAGAAGCATAAACAATTGCTGGTTCTCCACGTAGGTCCTCACAAAACAGGTACATCTAGCATTCAGACAGCTCTCAACCGCAGCGGGGAATTTCTAGAAAGAGATAATTACAGATATATTGGGAATAATAACGGTGTATTGAATGTTAACGCATGGAATCACTGTGATGAAAAAGAAAATAAAAACTGCTTCATTTCCTTGCCCTCAGAAGTAGGTAAAATATTAAAGACAGAGGATCACAATCTCGTGGGCTCTTCCGAATATCTCCGAAGTTTGAACGATGTCGGCCGCCAAGCACTTATTAACGCGACAACAAACAAATGGAATGTCAACGTCGTTATGAGCTACCGTCGCCATCACGAACTGTTGCCGAGTGTATACAATCAACGATACAAGCTCTTCAGAAACAATTCGAAGCTAACCCCTGGCCATCACCACTGGCCAGGCGTTCGAGGCGACGTTCGAATTCCGTCCTTCCCGGAAGTTCTTTCCACCTTGATAGAGGAAGAAGACATTTCCGTCAGAAGTTATGACGCATGGAGCAAATTTTTCCCGGTCTCGATCTTCAACACTCATCAAGAGGGGGATTTGGTTACAAACTTTGTCTGTCAAGTCGTCACCGGTGCCCGTCAATTATGCAGAATTTTCGCCGATGACTCCAATGAAGCATCCAATACGTCAATAAATAAATCCACGTCTTATTTGGATTGGGATATTTTGGGAGTTTTTGCCCACGAACAAGGTTTAGTCCACGAGCTCGACAACCGATACAAGTTGGCCAAAGCTATCGGGGCGTACATTCGAAGATCAAATTTGAGACTCCCACTAGCATGCCCCACAAAGGAAACGATTGATCAATTGTACAGAACATCAATGAAAATAGAGCTCTGGGCTACTTCATTCGGGTCTCCAAAACCACTGACGAACTTCCAAACCAGCTGGGAAGAAACTCTTCAGAAAATGAAATTGTGCAGTGTGAATGCATCTTCGGCCCTTGAGCAGGAGGTTTGGAAAAACTTTTTCCAGCAACGCATGTCATCAATTGATTTTCGAGAAACCAATGCCACTGCTGAGCTCTTAAATTTGTCTTCTAACATTACCCACCAGTAAGAATAATGCTGTTTGTGGACAAATGGCTTGGTTGGAATTGGAGGTACTGTATTGTATGATACAGTACCATGTGGATACCAAAATGAACTCCATTGACTAGTATGCCCTCCAAAACTTAAAGTAGTTACTGTACACATTAATGAATAAATCACTCATCAAAAACTAGTAATCTTATGAACATATTCTTGTATAAAAGTAGATATATTGAAAAGCTGAACTGCAGTGGCAGTTGGAAGACCTTGGCTGCCTTTGATATATTTGGGGGTGCTAACAAGCTCATGAGTATTGTAGCTGTAGCTGTAGCTCTAGCTCTAGTAGCTCTAGCTCTCAAATTACTATGTATTACGTAACACCGAAGTGTTTGGCTAGCTCTAGCTCTAGCTTCCTTTAGCTTTGGCCATAGTTTTAGCCATAGTTTTTGTTTAAGTTTTAGCTTTGGCTTTGGCCTTGCCTTTGCCTTGTTTGCCTTTGGCTTTGGCTTTGGCTTTGGCTTTGGCTTTGGCTTTGGCTTTCCCTTTCCCTTTCCCTTTCCCTTTCCCTTTCCCTTTCCCTTTCCCTTTCCCTTTGCCTTTCCCTTTCCCTTTCCCTTTGCCTTTGCCTCTAGTTTTGCCTTTGCCTCTAGTTTTGCCTTTGCCTCTAGTTTTGCCTTTGCCTCTAGCTTTGCCTTTGCCTCTAGCTTTGCCTTTGCCTCTAGCTTTGCCTTTAGCTTTGCCTTTAGCTTTGCCTTTAGCTCCAGCTCCAGCTCAAACTATCGTATAGTAGTGTTGGCAGAGTGACTGACCCAGCTGTACATTAGCAATCCTGGATATACGTACACGTATAGTATAGATCAATATTTGTTGGACTGCCTACTCCCCCAACGCATTCAAAAGCTCTTTGAATTCTCTTTTTAACCATGTGCTTATCATTGTTAAGCCTCCGTTGGGGGAAAAGTTATAACCCAAACTATCAGTTCAAGACTGAAACAGTTATACAGTTAAATTATAGGATGCGTTGATTTTGAGCTATCATTTTATCATGTAAAGACTCATTAGACTCAACGGTTTTCAGTCCCACGATCCGTTCTTTGCACCTCAACAGACCAACTGCTCACTAAATTTGGCCACTATTTGTGTGAACTCATATCTTGGCAATTCCACTCCTTGATAGTACATTTATTCTGTTTCCGGTTTATCAGAAGGAACTGTGCCTGATGCATTTCCCCATGCTTTTAAAACGATGTATTGATCCCATTTCTTTCTCTTAAAATTGATGGAGAACAATACATACTGTGACTGAGAGCGCCCCTGCTAAGTATGGAGGATACTGCTGGAACAAGCAAGAAGCAGCATAATAAGCAAAATAACAAGCAAAAGAAGTAAGATGAGCAACCAATACTACTAAAAACACCAGACTTCCTTGTTGAAGACCTCCATAAGGATGTATATCGATACGCCGAGAGCTCTCCAGACTCAGTCCCTCCACGACGCCCAGCAATCTTGTTTGCTGGGTGCCATCCAAAGCAAAGAGTGAATTTAAATTGGAGAAGAGCAAGAACAAAGAAGGCAAGGCATCAAGCTAGGATGCTTGTTTACAAAGGACCCAAAGTGTGTGCTTACAAGCATTGGAGGTTGCCATGTCGGAAGCTTGCAATCATAAAGGGCAACATGGAGATGAAGTGGTATTCAGCAGCAAAGGCAAGGGAAGCAGCAAAGTTGATTAAGGGCATCGATCCAGGGATTGGATGGAAGATCCAAATAGTCATGGATCCCTCTGTGCCTCCTCCAAAAGAACCTGAGCCCCCTCCACCAGAGATAATTGATGATCCATCCCCGAAAGTACAGTTTCTAATGAATCAAGACTGGAAGTGGGTCGAGGATTGGGAATGGGACCAAAATACAACAAAGAGCTGAATAAGAACACCTGATTGAAGAAGAAAGATCTTGCAAAGGCAATGGAGCTTGCTAGATTTGCAAAGCCTCTCTTGCCTCCGACAATGAGTGTTGGTGACAAGCACGAGTGGTTCTTTGAGATCTATTGGACAGTGGTGAAGAGGGAAAACAATGTAACCCCCTGCATTCAGCGTGCAAAAGAATTTTCCTTTGATGAGTGGGGACATCCTTTGTATGATCAAAGCTTATCCTTTGATTCAGCTGACTATGAGGAGATGAATTGTAAGGAGGAGGAGGAGATGGATCGTGAGAACCAGCATCCAAATCAATTGACAACAAAGCAACCGAATCAGCCACTGAATCAGCCACTGAATCAGCAACTGAATCAGCAACTGAATCAGCAACTGAATCAGCAACTGAATCAGCAACTGAATCGGCAACTGAATCAGCAACTGAATCAGCAACAGATTCAGCAACCAAATGAGCATACTATTCTTATTTAAGGAAGCAACCAAAAGAGCTGATACTGAGGAAGCAACCAAATGAGCTGCTGATTTGGAGGATGCTTGCTTGCACATAGGAAGCAAGCAACCGAATAAGTAAGAAGCAACCGAAGGAGCTGCTGATATGAAGGAGTTTGCTGATACATAGGAAGCAAGCAACCAAATGAGCTGCTGATTTGGAGGAGTTTGCTGATATGTAGGAGCTATCTTTTCTTTTCTTGTCATTTCTTACCCTAGAGCAGTCGTCATTCCTTCCTAGACCAAACCACTCATAATTGTGATAGTTGCTGTGGAAAAAATTCCAATTGATGAGATCTCCACTAGAGTCTCGCTTCCTTGAATGAATATGGCTGGGCAAAGAAGGACTTGACATAGCTGGCACAAGCTGTATGTATTGCTACCGCACATGTAACAAATGTTTCTGCTTCTTGACTTGGTTGGTCCTGTTGCTATCAAATGTTTCTTATATTCACCCTGAGTGAAGCAAAATCTTCCCATTGCCTTATACTCTGCAATAGTCTGCAAATTGTGGTATGAAAGCATCTATATGGTCCAGTTTTCCATACGAATAAAGATAAACCTCACGAGACTCATTCATTTCAATGCCCCATGCTTGCTTCTCAGCCCCCCTTCCCCTTTCCTTCTGATGAATATAAAAGGATGAAGATGAAATAGAGTTGACCGAGCCTAAGTTGCAGGCTCCAGTGCTCTGGAATGAACAGTGGACTTGTCTGTAGGCTCTCGTCCCCTTGTCCAAATGTGCTGGTACAGTTTTCACAGCAGTTATAGGCTTAATCATACATGATGCCTTTGCTCTTGATTTTCTGTTTGAATCCCCTGCGGCATTCTTCTTATGAAAGTACTTTCCAGGAACCTTTGCTGGCAGCCTGTTCTTAGCAACAGTTCCCATCATACCCACCAAGCCTTCCTCACCATTCCAATCCAAAATGGAATCTGATACAAAGAAATTGTCCGCCATGATATGAGGTGGCAATTTCCAAATCTTCCCAGGTCCTATATGAGGAAGAACAAACTTCTCAACTAAGTGGTGAACTTCAGCTGGGCCAGTACAGGAATGCCTATCATCATCAGATTTGCTTCCACCCACGGTATCGATGTTTCCACGCTCTGAGACTAATCCGATCAACATCCAACATTAGAACCATTTGTCCACCTCTTGTAATCATCTTTCCTCTCAGATAGTTAACAAGTGGGCCACCAAACCCTTGACCATACAGCCAACTAGTCTCGTCAATACATAGATCCAAGCCTGCGTACTCCGTGAAATAATTTATGTTGTTCACAATAGTCTGGTAGATGTAGTCAAACTTGTAAGCTACGTTACCACTGCTCCTTTTGATATCATTATTGCATAGCTCAAAGTTTCTTTTCATTTCATGCAACCTTGTATGTGTCATTGTATTTGAAATATCCTCATTGAATGAAGTTTCCTTTGTATCCCATCTATACTTTATATTCTCACTTGCTCCTTCACAAGCTCCATGCAGAAAAAGGTTGCCATCAAAATGAACTGCTTCAGGTAAGCTCACAGGTTTGACTTGGTGTCCTTCCTCTTCATTTTAATCAGAGATGTAGACATTTTTATATCATCTCATCACCTTGTTGTAATAGGTAAGCTTCTTCTCTGGTTCAATTTGGTACCGCTGAGCTTCTGCTGTGTCAGGAGCAATAGGAAGGAGCAACTGGTAGAAGAAGAACACATCTCCATTTTCAATACGGTCCTTTGTGAGCCCATGCTGCAGAAGCCTGTAAATATCCAACTTTCCCCTTCCTCTCATCTGGAAACATGTTGTCTCTAGTAGCAAACTTCCTTGCAAACTGGTTGTTAGGATCTTCCACTGTAGGATCCGCATCCCACCTTAGGTAATGAAACTTCCATCCATTCTACTCTCTGATAGGTTCCTTGCCAAGACCAGATAAGTGTTTAGGAACTTTGACAGGCTTACACTCAGAAGGAAGGAAGTGTCCTTTGTACTTCCCAGTACCTGCTTCAAACTTGGGTCTGTAGTAATACGGATGCCACCCACCTGGATTATCAACATCTTTCCAGTGCTCAGTTTTGCCTTTGTCAACTGTTGGATCCTTTTTTTCATAACCCACTGGGACCTTTGGGTAGTTAAGACTGTTGTCAACAATAGTTCCATCTTTCCAATAAAAGAACTCAGTATCATGAGGCTCAATTCCAAGCTGTTTGTTGGTCTGAGTGATCATATTGAAGAATTCTGCTTGTGCTGCCTCCTTGTGACTCAAAATCATAAATAGGCTCAGTTTCATCAACAACCTCCTCATCACGTGAGCTTTCATCCTCAAACAAAGTTTCCACATCTGATTCTAACTCTTCAAAGGCGGACGCTTGGGACTCAAAGAGAGCTGGTTGTCTAGTATCAGTATCAGTATCAGTATCAGTATCAGTATCAGTATCAGTATCAGTATCAGTATCAGTATCAGTATCAGTATCAGTATCAGTATCAGTATCAGTTGTTATTCTTTATACCATTATTTGGGGATTCTGTGGGAATAGTGCTGTAGGATCTGTTGCACTTGACAAGAAAGGATCAAAGAATGACAAACAATGACTCCAATTACGTTAGTATGGGAAGAGATGAAGTAGGTCAAGCACTTGGTTACCAGCAGGAAACCTATCAGAAATTCAATGGAGCTGAGGATTTGAAGTCTCTTCTCAAAACTTTCAAGAGAAGCAAGAAGAAGAATTATACAAAAGCTGTATATCTTTTCATGAAAGCTGTCAAGACCTTTGCTGGTGATTTCAATACAAACCACGGCTAGTATGACTTAACAAATGCTTGCAGAATCAAGGCACTTCAGAGCAATGAAGAAATTTATAATGTGGTTGTCAATGGATGTGATGATCCTGCTGTAGTTGATATCATGACTTGGTGGCAAACTTCTGCCAAGCTTTTCTTGCAAATTTTGACTGCTTTGAAATCTCAGGACAAGCAGTGCAACTTTGACGTTCTCAAAGTAAAAGAAAGGGTCACTAACTTTACACAGCTATGGGTAAAGCGCCTAGGAACTTGTGAAAGTAAGAACCCAATCTAATGGACGAAGATGCATGTGCTATTGTGTGCCTTGATTCTCTTTATTGTGAAGACATGGATGAGCACACATTACTCCACTGAAGCCTTTGAAAACAAACACCATATAATGAATCAATTAAGAAGGCTTTTGGTGCCAATTGCACAAGACAAACTTTGATGTAAAAAGCTCTCACAATGCCAGCAATCTTGTCTTATTCCAGTTGTTGAAGAAGTGCACTGCCTTTTTGGAGAAGAACACTATGAAAGACAGAAAGATTGCCACGGCTGTTATTGTTCATTCAGTACAAGAACAAAACTATTAGAGGATCTTCTGACTGCTGACGAAACCAACAATCTTGAAGCTGGAGATGTTGTGGAGGGGTATTTTGTTTCAAAAAAGAGCATTTTAATTCCAGTTGAACTGCAGGATTTTTATGATTACATGCTCCCAGGCAAGGTTTTAGACAGTTGGTTGCAAACCTTTGTGGACAGTTAATTCCTTGCATCAAACAAGGCATCAAACAAGGCATCAAACTCTGCCCATTACATCCCTCCATAACGCCTCTTCTTGCTGCTGGCTTTCAACAACAACAACAACAACAGGAAGAGCAATAACGACAACAATAAGTGGAAGAATATGCAATGATGCTGGTTAGGGGCACTGTCAATGACAGTTAGAGCATTTATAAGTTACACTACACTGTGTTCTTGATGTTGCTAGGCAAAACAGAGGATAGAAGATAATGCTGGTCATCCGATCACAACAAGAAGTACATGCGACTACTACTACTACATAGCATGCTGTATCTTAAATGTGAGCAAATCAGGCAGCAAAAAAACAAGCAAATGCTGATTCCTAGTACAAATTACTTGTAGGATCTTAAGAGGAAACTGGATGTCAAGGGGGTTGGGGTTGGGTTGGGGTAGTTTTTGATAATTTTGATCTGTCTAACTTGTCAATCAGATTGCTTGATTTTAGTATTATCCCTAACTCTAAATTAACGCCAAAGTCGAACGAAAATCTCCGCTTGAACAGCTGTGGCGCGTCTCTACGGGTGTTGCGAACCCCTGCCTGTCATATTTATGTCCCCCCTGGTCGCACGAACCTACGTAGGCGAATAAATCGAAAGATGTCTGAGGCTGGTCGCTGACAGCTATGGTTGGCGAGGGTTCAAAAAAGAAAAAATGCCTAAGTGTCATTTTAATGCCAAAAATTAATTACTACTCTTACTCTTTTTCGACGTCTAACGTACGTACTGTACACAGTTCTGTATCTACCGTACGATACTGTACGGTCGGTACTACGCCGTCCTTGGTTTCTCTTCCGGATCTTCAATCCAGGACCCCATCGTTCAGAGTATGTAGGCTTCGTACGGTACCTGCCGGTACTTTCTGGAAGAACCACACTGTTAGACACGTGATGAAACGTTTACAGCAGGACAGCATACCAAGTACTCGTAGCAGTGACTACCAGGTTTGTACTGGGTCGTACAGTGATTTCACATGGTGTTTATTATTTCTCCGGCGATTCGGACTATTTTACGTTATTAGAACTTCGAACCTGAGGAGCCATCGTTAGCGTCCCTCTCGAGGAAAAACTATTTCCGAATCCTTTACGATCGCTCTACCAGAGCACCGCCAGCCACTTTAAGTATGAGCAAGAGCAGCGTAGGGGAAAAGAACGACCAAGTGCCTTCGATTACACCTAGCAGCAACGGCAACAGCAACAGCAACAGCATCAACAATGCCAAGGCTGGCAACGACGACGACAGACAATGCCCTCCGGTATCCGCCGCGAAGGTCGACCCCAAGAAACAAACGGTAGTCCTCTGTGCCAGTTGCGATAGATGCCGTGCTCGCAAGACCAGATGCGATGGGAAAAGACCCTGTGGGAACTGTGCCTCTCGGTATATGAAGAAGCACAAACTTACCAGGTACGTTGCGATAGATTCGCTGCTGGAAGAGTAAAGCACGTACTGTTCATCGATGTATTTTCTACGCATTTTGTCTGTAGCAGTACTGTATTTGGATTTCACGCTACCAACAAAAAGGTTGTCGCCCGTTCCCCGTTCACAAGTCGACAATAAAGTAGTGGTTGAATACTTTCTCTCCCATGAAGCAAAAGCTGTACATTTTGCTTCATCGAAGGACATGGCCAAGAACCATACGGCCTTCACATGGCTGGTAGTTAGGTGTCAAGTTTGATCTCCTCACGTGCATTTTTATCTCTCTATTTTTTCGTGATTTCTCGTCTTTACCAACCAATGACCGTACGATACTCCAATGTTATTGCCTTCAATAATTCTGCGAACGCAACAATGTTTCGCTAATGCACATCCCGTGAAATCATATGCATCAATGCTTCACGAATGGAACATCACCAACTGCGACAACTGCGTTTGGGAAATACTCATAAAATGCACAGTATCGAGGGCGTTGATGTTGCCTTATTTGAATGCAACTACTCCCCCGCCAAGAGACGCGGGCCAGTCCCCGGCCGTGCCGGTCAGACCAGGAAAGCCGCGGAAGCCTTTGGAAACTCGATTGGGGGACGCGGTCGCTTTGGAGCCCCTAACTTTCTGTCCCATGCCGGTGTCAACAGCGATGCCCTGCAAACACTGGGTGGAGTCGCGGCCCACCGCAGCTCCGGCATGATGTCGGCGACGACTCAGAGCGCCCTGGAAGCTATACAGATGCGCCAGATGATGGCCATGAAGATGGGGAATGGGATGGGGACTGTGGTGTCACGAGGGGGAGGCGGAAGCATCCAGGGAATCATGGGAAGAACACTTGGTGGTGCAGGTGCATCAGGCCACGGATCTATGCCCGGAGGATTGGCTGCGATGAACAGTGGCAGCCAGCAGCGCCAGCACATCCAGCAGCAACTCAATCTGATTCAGCAGCTACAGGCCCAGCAGCAAATGGGCAGCGGGGGAGGTGTTGCCGATGGCGGACTCGGAGCAATTGCACAGCGGGGAGATTCGAGCAGCGGGATTGCTAGTGCAGCAATGGGTTTGCCCTCGATTGATGGCGTGGAGGCGGCTCGCCGGATGAAATTAAACGACCAAACAAACCAGTCGCTCTCACAGCTACAACTACAGCAGGAGCGGCAGCTTCTGCAACAGCAGGTTCAACAGCAGCAGCATCAACAACAACAGCAACATCGACGACGACGACAACAACAGCAACAGCAGCAGCAGCAGCAGCAGCAGCAACAACAACAACCATCGCAACTCCAAACCAACAACGGAGGAACGGACGCAAACGGTGTCCCAAAAACGATTGCGGCGCATACCCACCTCTTGGAGCTGAGCGATCCCGATGGCAGTCGCCTCAGGGCCTTCTACCGATTGAGTGTCGACGAACTATTTGGGTTTCCGCCTACTCCGACCGACGAGGAATACTGTGCCCGTCTCAACATTCCCGGTATGACCCCAAGAATGATCCCCGGAACCCATCTTGCGGCCTTGAGTGCCGCACGGTTTGCCGAGGTGGCACTGGGGGCCATTGTCCACAACGAGGCCCCGCTAGCCATGGAATTGTGCAACGCGGTTGTGCACTGCCTGAAGGAATCCGTCCAAGAGCCGGTGCAACCCCCCTATATGTTTGAGGTGGCTCGATCCTACTTTTTGCTGGCTGTCTTTCGAGCCTTTCGAGGCGACACTGTCCGGTATTTCAAGTACCGCAGAGTCTGTCTTACGTATGTTTCGAAGCTGGAGGTACGCTTTTGTTTCCATGGAAAGTGCTGTCTGTACTAGGTTTCGACGAAATCTTCGGAATGTTTTCGATGGTCCAAATTCTCATCTGTTTTCGATTTCCACCGTTGCACTATTTTTTGTGTCTTTCTCTTCTCTCAAAGAATGCCACTAGTGCGACAACCCTGGTAGCTGCGGTTTCGTTTTTGGATGCTTGGGCGTACATGATCTACAATGCCGATGAAAAGAAAGTTCCCCGCATCGATACTTCTATCCCACCGGTCGAACGTCCACCACAATCCATGCTAGCCAGGCCTACGGCGGTAGAAATGGAATACAACGTCCGGTGCAATCCCGCGTGCATTGCATCGGATCCCAGAAACCAAAATTGGATCCAGGGGGCACCGCCGGTCTTTCTCAACAACGAGGCACCGCTTCGTGCCCGATCTTTGGATGCATTGGCCTGTGCCGTCCGAACCTGCTGCGATCAAGCCAACGGTCGGTTTGCTGCCATTTCAAAGGAAGCCAAGGCCGACAACATGGAAGCGATTCCGCAAGAATCCATCATCACTCCGACAACCACGGCCGTATTGGCCCACGAAAACGAATTGTGTAGCCGGAACATGGTGTTGTCGGGCTTTAGTCTCTTGGAACAGTACGAACAGGTAACTCCCAATTCGCACAAGAATCAAGGCATGCATTTGGTCATGTCGGCCATGGACGCCTTCCTCGACAATGGGGACGACGGAGGTGAAGGAGGTTTTACGGATTCACAGATCCAATCGCTGCTGAGCGTCGCAAACATTGTCATCGAAAACCCCTTGCTTCTCCACCACGCCGGCCCTACCTACCACATGGTATCCAATGCGGCGGTCATGCTTTGCCATCTCTTGAACAGCATGTACGTGATGAAGGGAGGAGCCGAGGGGATTCGAAAAGACCAAGAACTGGGGGGGGGCATGGAAGCGGCCATGTTCGAAGAGATCCTCGACACGTTTACCGCGCTGCGCAAGCTCCTGGTGATCCACCGGCGAAAACTGCCCATCAAGCTGCGCTGCCACAGCATCCCTCGGCCTTCCCTGGTCGCCTTTGAGAACGGGAAACCCTTTGTCGATCTGGGGGAAACCCTGCTCTGTGCCTGCCGGGGATGCCAGGGGTTTGTGCTCATGGCCTGCTCGCCGGTGGTCGCCGCGCAAAAGGCCCAGGCGGCCGCGACGAAGCGGAGCGTCGAGGCGGCCCGGGAGGCGCAGGTGGAAGCCGCGGACGAACTTGACAAGACCCTGGACGATCTGAGCCACGATTTCAACCTAGACGACGATGCCCTGCTGGGAATGCTGTCGCAGCTGATTTCCGGTTGATGGCATGGCTCGTGACACGCAACGTGCTGCGCATCGAGAATCGCCGGCCGCGTACCGAGCGGAAAGGAAGCGACGAGAGGTCCGTGCTGTCCGGTACGGTACGGTACGCTACGTTGTTTCGTGCGTGCTGGTTTTGCTCGCCGCCGGCGTTCTAGTTCCTTTCCACGGTGTGCGACGGTGCATGCATGGAACGGCCAGCAGAGAGTGAACCAAAGAAGTTTCCAAGATATTACTGTATGTAGCCTAAGCAAGTCGAAGGGTGCAATTGTTCGTTACTACTTCTACTATTGTTCAGGCACTCCTGAGTTTTACTTAGTCCTACCGTAAATACATACCTACATATATGCATACATACACACAGGCATACACCAGGGTCTAGCGTCTAGCGTCTAGCGTCTAGCGTGGTACCGTGTGCACGGTGTTGTTATTGTGCGTACTAGGAAACTGTGCAGGATGGTCGTTCTCCTGCTCGATGCTGTAACAAGCAGCAGTGTGGGGGCAGTGGTTTGCGTGGTTTGTGTTGCGGAACCGACCCGGCAGTAGTACGTGCGTACGCACGGTACTCCTCCGGTGGCAGAGCAAACTGCCGTGTGGTCCAAAAGGCCGATCGCGGTGGTGGTCGTTTCGGATCGCAAGACCAAGAGCGCCGGTCTCCGCGTTTCAAACCTGCGGCGGGGAGGCCGCACGACACAACTGCAACCCCCGGTGCCAAAGAACCCTTGGTGTGCTGCAGTACTCGGCTCCCCGGTTTCGTTTCGGGACGGACCGATGCTCCGAATGCAACCGGATCTGCATCAATTCGAAGGAGTACAGAATCCGCATCGCATCGCATCGAGTCAGTAGAGAATCCGAGGTCCAAGCGTTCTCCGCACCACGTTCGGTGTTGTGTCTGTCGGTCTTAAACCCTGGTTTGGTCGTCGTCGTCGTCGTCGTCGTCTCTCGCCCCACGCAGCCGGTGTCTGGTGTTTGGTACTTGGTGTTTGGTACTTGGTGTTTGGTACCTGGTGTTTGGTATTGTTATCTAGGCACGGTATGCCTATGCGTATGCCTATGCCTATGCGTATGCCTATGCCTATGCGTTTGCGTATGTGTTTGCGTATGCCCCGTGGTCTGCACCTTCGCCTTCGACCGCGACGACAGCGAGCACCACCGACAAGAGGAACCTGGTGACCAGGAGAAGCGACATGGTTCTCCCGATGCGGTCCGAGACATCCGCGTTTCCGCAGTACCACTGCAGAAGGCCGGCGGTTTGTCTTTGTCTTTGGTTTTGCGTTCGGCACGCACGAGCACAAGCACGGGCATGGGCATGGGCATCTGCAGCAGCAGCATCGGCCGAGGAAGCGAAAAAAGAAGACGCCGACGGAGAGAACGGAGAGGCGCACGCGGTTTCTGCTTCTGTTTCGTCGTCTCCATCGTGGTTGCTAGTGTTATCCCTACAATCACTATCACTACAATCACTACTGCTACAATCGCCAACCGACAACGAGCGGGACAAAAAAGGGCGACGAACCGAAGCCCCGAAGGCGATCGGTGTCCAGAGAGCCCCGCAGAACGCCCCGACTCCTCGGAACGAAGCCCCGTCGTGGCTCCCGTTATTTCTTCCATTGTTTTTGCCGTAATTTCTGCCATCGTTTCTGCCGTCGCTTCTGCCGGCAACCGCAGATTGTGATGCTCTCGACATTTTCGGTTCGTTTCTCGGTGTGGTAGCGTTCGAGTATTGCAATATGACAGAAAGAGTACTCTACCGTATTGTATTGTATTGTATTGTATTGTATTGTATTGTATTGTGTTGTGTTGTATTGTATTGTATGTTGTATTGTCAATACGAGACGTCAAAGGTCGTTTCGGATGCGGATGCGGAAGCTTGGAAGCGTGGATCCGTCGTTCGACATCAGGAGCAAGTAGTACGAGTTTCTCTTGCTAAACGTACCGGTAGTAGGCTACGGTAGGAGCAAGTACGGAACGAAAACCTTAAAAAATACAGTAGGCTTTTTCCACACTGGTACATACTCTCTTACACGTACAGTAGCGTAGTTCATTACTGTACAGTAGATTCATTAGATAAGATTCGATGCAACTAACAAGTACCGTACTACCGTACGTTCTGTACCGTACTTCGTAGTACTGTACTCAGTATGTAAGTGGCCCCCGAATTTGGAGAAGACATACCGTATTTTCGGCCAAGGGTTCGTGTAAAGAGCCTGAAGCAGATGTGAACGAGGAATTTGTTCGTCACGTTCAGATTTCTTCAAGATTACTGTCTTAAGCCTACGAGTACGAGTACTCGTACTCTACGCGTACGACTGAGAGAACGACCCAAAAGAACATGTCCCGGGTACACGTTCCTTGCGGGACTGTCACTTCCGGGACAATAGCCGTAATTGTCGACCTTTGGTCTCCGTAATCCGTAACAGTAGTATGTACCGGTACGCTAGGAGGTACCCAACTTTTATCCTTGCATGTTGGACGAACCACTTCGTTAGCCGACCGTGGCCTGTCCGTTACGCTACGTTCTCAAAAGTAGAAACAGTAGAAAAGTTGAGATTCGGTCTTGAGACAGAACGATTCGAGAGCTCAAAACCAAAAAAAGGCCAGACAGAAACCTAGTTCAGCCCAGACGTGCAGATTGGTGATAAGTAGGATCGTATAAACTCTGTCACCACCTTTGCCCAGATTGTTACTGCATAAGCCCGACAAGTTTTTGGCTCCCTCTTCTGAATCACTATGGTGACAGCACAGGAATAAGAAAATTCAATGATATCGGTACAGTTCATATTAAAACTTTCCAACTTCCAACAAAGCAAAAGAAGCACTGATCTGTCTAGCACGATGATGACTCGACTTTACAACATCCTTTCTCTTGCTCTCCTTCTTGCTGCGGTAGCAGCAACGGACCAAGAAGATGGATTCCTCAATGCAATGGAATTCAGAAAGGGTCATCGTTCACGTGGTCTCAAGAGCTCAAAGAACACGCCCACCCCTCCCACTCCCCCGGTTTCTAACAGCTGCGTGTTGACCGAGGAAGACGCCATGATGGCTGCCGACGCAATACTTTTGCAAGCTGAAGAGGATATCGACAACATGTTGGGAGTTCAAAACGTGTTTAGCAAGGATTGCGTCGTTGCCACTTCGAGATTGACTTTTCTTTGCGGACATGCTGCCACCTGCGTTTTCAATACGCCCGAAAGAATTGCATTTTGTTTGTCCGGTAGAGGACCATGGTGCAGACTTGCCGGAGACCAATGGAAAGATAAATGCGGTTTCTAAGTCTGTGGCCCCAGATTCTATCTTGTTGGATCCATCCGCAATGTCTCTGTTGTTTCTTATGAGGCACCCACTGTTTTCACGGTGCTTCTTAAAGGCAAACCTTGCCGATAAAATGACAGATAGTGATGAGAGAGAGCAACAAATCAGGGATGGTGTTTTAAGTAGGTTTGTGTTCGGGGATTGTTTGCTTTTTTAACGAATACAATAGCCTGTGCCATGCCAAAAATGCACGAATTACAATTTTTTTCATTCTGAAAAGTCCAGTTCTTTTCACTTGCTCTTGGAGGTGTCTTCTTCGAAACGATGGTGCGTTTCTTTTTTGTTCGTATGATTAGTTTTACTACTGCAGTAAAGTATGTTTTTAACATGAAAAAGTTTCCTCTAGTATGGTCTACGGTACAGTATTGTTTTTATGACATTTATTGGGGCTTATAACCTGTGAAATGCTGGCAGGCTATCTAGTGCACCGTATGTCAAAATAATGTTGAAGCTGGTACGTACGATACCGTACCGGCCGGTACAGGGTTTGCAATAAAGAGTGAGTTCATTCGTACTCGTGATCTAGCCTCACAAGCGTAATCCCCAAACAGGGAGTCAGCTTTCATCCAATCAATTTTTCAACCGTACGAGCTACTGTACTCTCATCCGTAAATTAAAAAGACCGGCAAGTTACTTGTAGTTGTTACTTTTTCCCAACTGTTCCCGGACGAAGGACGAAGGACGTATTTACCGTACGGAGCTGGCAAATGGTTGCGTACGTATGGACGCAACATACGTATGAATTCAATACTGTACGTCGTACGTTTTCTGTTGCACTAGTGCTGTACTTTCTTCTACATACCGCTACAGCATACGTAGTTTGGATTACTGCTCGAAGACTTTTTCCGAATTCTTTCTGATGTCATCGGCATTTCGAATTGCACCTAATTTCTTTCTCACTCCGAAAACCACAAACCATCCGATCCACCAAGCTTGTTTGTTGCAATGAATTTTAAACATATGTCCACCACAGACACAATTTCGAAAGAAAACGTTACAAACTTATTTACGTTTTTCAGACCGATAACTCATCAACAACTGCATAAGTGACAAAGGGTAAAGCTTATCAAACGATGACCGCTCTAACGACGACAAACTATAACGCGATCTTATCGATTGCAGTTGATACTAGCGATGGCGAATGTGGTCCCTCTGTTTTGGCTGCCGGTGAAAATTGCATTGGCGACGATAACTACAGTGAATGTGACAGCAGCTACGATGCATACGATGAAATTTGCAAGCAGGGTGAGTATCTCCGTATGCTCCGCCAATTGGAGTTGGAAGACGAGGCCTTGAGAGAAAAGGAGAGGTTAGAAAACCAGCTAGACGACGAAGGCAACGAAGAAAACGATAACCACGATAACAGCAGCACTCTTGCCTACGAAAAGTATCTTCGAAACCCAGAGAAAAAATACGACGATTATAAACATGTAAATTACCAGTTTATTGATTTTGGAGTAATCGCATCTCCCCACAGATGCAGCAGCGACGAAAACGATAATTGCCACGATAATGTACACATGGAGCAAAATCGTCCACTTACGATTGAACAAGACCGGAACCTGGGAAAGGGTGGCTTCGTTTGGGATAGTGGCGTTATTCTGGCACAGTCTGTGTTGAGAATGGAAGCTAGAGAAACTGATTGGCTTTCAAATATCAGCCATACCTGCAACAAAAACAAGACTAAAATCATTGAACTTGGGGCCGGCACCGGAATCACCTCCTTGCTCATTGCGTCCGCACGACCCCACACAACCGTCCATCTAACCGACCTTCCAACGCTTCAACCCTTGTTGAAAAAAAATTGTCAAAGAAATTGTCCCGAAAGAACTACACATGGAGTCTTGGAATGGGGGAAGCAGCCGTTTGGTGACGATGTGGATGTCCCCTACGACATTATTCTTGGAGCAGACGTAGTGACCGGCATTTACGATTCATCGGGTCTTGCGAAGACCATATACGATTTGGCACACGAAAAGACGGTTGTATACCTTGCCCTGAAAGATCGATTGAGCGGAACAATCGATCGGTTCGAGTCGTATATGAGAGAATTGTTTCGAGTGATCGAGCGAAAAGATGCCGACAGTGACAACAAAAACCCAGGCGTATTCATCTTGAAGATCTCTGGGAAACGAATATACTGTTGAAGCAACGAAATGACAAGAACGCTGCAAAAAAAACATTGCTAAAAGATCGAAATATTCTGTTGATAGAATTTTCTGGGATGATATAGTGTCTTCTACGTATTTGAAATTGAAAATGTTGTACAATGCGTCAATCCTACCATAGTTGCACCAACCCCACCTGAAAGTGGCAAGGAAAAACAACGAGAGCGGCAACTAATGTGTCGCACTAATGTAAATAAAATAGAGTTAAAAAAGTACTATACAGATCGACACGTCTTTTTGGCAATCGGCGATAATGGTAATGAGCAACAATTGAAGCTGGAAACGCAACGTCCTCTTGTAGATAGAAACTCCACCATTTTCTACACCTATGAACATCGCTTTACGAGCACCGCCAGTGTTAGTAATCAAAGTAGAGTCTCTCGTTGTCTCCTTCGACTCAGAATGTATCCCCTCTTTTGTCTGATAAAGGTGTCCATACTGACACTTCTCGATTGGTCGAATCTTCGAGAAAGCGATTCATGGACATCGACATCGACATGCTCATAGACGCCGCTACGTCAATGTCTTCCGGAAACGACTCCGATGGTGTCATTGGTGGTTTCACACCCACCGACGAATCCTCGTTGGCAGTTTCTACATCCATTGCTATGTCCCCCAGTGGATTCTCTGTAATCTGAACTGGGTTAGGAGTGCTTGTCGCTGGTGCAAGGCTGCCGGTTTCAAGCTGATGTGTATTGGTGGGAACATTCATTCCACCTGTAAGGGTCACGGTAGGAACCTCTGTCAGGATTGATTCTTGCGTTGGAGTGCTGGTAGGATCGCTCGTGATTGGTGCCTTTGTCGGGCTCTCAGTAGGTTTCGCTTCAGGAGCATCAGTAGGAAATGCTTCGGGGTAGCTTGTAGGGCTTAGTGTAGTTTTTCCACTCAATGTATCGGTGTAATTGACTGCGGATGCTTCGGTAGGGCCCAATGTCGATATCTCCTTCGGGGTTTCAGTCGCAGCCGTACACAACTCGGAAGAGGTCTCTCCGAAGTCAACCTAACAGAAGAAAAAGACAAAAAAGTTAGATTGAGTTCCTCAATGCACACACAGGCCTAGATTGATTTCCATGTCTTTTTCGAGCAGGAGCATGGAGGTCACTACTTACAAGCTCTACCCAACCAGCAGATTCTCCCCTCTCAAATATTGGATAACTGCTGCATTCATTCGTAAATGTGACAATAAAGACATTGATTACCCTATCACCAGCTGCGTTGATTCCGACAAGATTCATTTGCAGTGCTCGGACGACTTCTTCCGATGAAAACACATCATTAGGATTAGCAAAGGCGGACTGATATACAAAAGAGTCTCCATCCCTCAATATATTTCCGATTCGTGTTTGAGCAATTACTCGTAGACTTTGCCCAAGTTCCAATACATCAATGCTCTCTATAGCAACGGGAATGAGATCTTGGACATTCGGATTTCCAAATGGACTGATAAGACAAGATGTTGCTTCAATTGCTTGTCCCACGGCGATATTTACCGGAGGGCATGTCATGCTGAAGTCTAGTTTGAACTCGTAGGACGAAGGGGAACATGAGCATATCTCCGAATCGATATCTTGACCATATGCTGCAATTAACAACACGAGAAGTGCTATTAGAAGCGATGAGAAAATATTGATCATATTGAATATCATTGTCTTCAAGATTTTTAAATGGTCGTAGTGACACTGAGCAGGATTTTCTTATCTACTACTGATGATGTGCGATTGCTTTGGCATTGTTGTGTACATGCAATGTTCTTGCCTACTCCGATTAATGAGCCACCAAGCAAACGGCTCTGACTCGCTACAGTACTCTGACAACAGATTGGAATCATTATGTGCGTTCTGCATATATAGTTCGATATTGGATATTTCGTCGTCGTTGATTTCTGTCAAGTTTTTTTCTTCTTGTCACAGTCGTTTGTTGTTGTGATAGGCAATGTCGATTGAGTTTTAGTCAACGGACCAAAAATTTGAGTGCGACAGGACGCATAGGTTCGTTCAGCCTCAATTTTGTTTTGATTCGCGGAAAAAATCTAAAAAGACTAACGCACACATCACGTACGGTACTGTAAAATTGTCTTATTGTCCCTCACAACGGAGCCTGTCGGCCTAAAACTCAAATTTTTTTTCACGCAACAACAAACACGAGTGCGGTCATCGTTAGAATCATTGTTCTATAGGTAGAGCATTGTTATCTTTTTAATTAGGCCTTATTTAAATACGACTACGAGTACTTAGGATTTTTTTTTCTAATAGGGTGTGGTTTTTTTGGTGATTTAGGCTCACATTTTCTACCGTAGGTGCGTTGTGCGTGCCGTACATTACGTCTCGAAGCTCTGAATAAAAATAAGGTGCGAAATGTACCTATGCTCTTTGGTGTCGTATAACTACGTGTTTACAATAAAGACTAAGCTCATTCATGCTCACTAAGATTGAGCATGTGGCTCATTCACTAGCTACACGTGAGTTATCCTCACAATCTGAAGCGACACCTGCAACTCCCAAGCTTGTCATTAAGCAGTACGTCCAAGTTGCCGAGAATTCTATTTATGGATAGCTTATCGTAAACGACATGAAATAATTTCTAGATTTAATATTATGATGTATTTTTCTGAAATTTCTAATAATACAGATTTTGAAATTCGTGCAGAGAGCTTGCGAACGAGCAATTGTAAATATACCCAACTCATTTACGAACGACTGAAATGATTTATATCCGAAGGCGTCTCTTCTTTCTGGAGTCCTCTCCCTTGGATCCACTTTTGGATCCATCCTTCGAGCCCGATTTCGAACCCGATTTCGAGCCCGATTTCGAGCCTGATTTCGATCCTGCTTTTGACCCGTCCTTGGACCCTGATTTTGATCCACTTTTAGACTTTTCCAGCTTGTTTGCTGCCTTTTCCCCGTCCTTACTTTTGTTTACTTTTTTCGGTACTCCGCTCTTTCCTTTGTTGAATTTTCCGTCCTTGCCTTTACTGCCTTTTCMGTCTTTTCCTTTTCCATCTTTTCCTTTGTTACGTTTTCCGTCCTTTCCCTTACTAGACTTTGCTACTGTGCATCATTACAAGTATCAGAGTAAGATTTAAAAGTATTTCACAAGTTACGACATTCAGTGTTGATTTGAAATGAATTTTGGAAGTGAAAGGAAAGTTATACGCATGAGAGGATCATTCAGCCAAAATCATATATTTAGGAGAAGGCTGCGTTCCAGGACAATTAGGAAACTTACCATAAGACTCTTCCAAAAAAGATTCCAGATCAGAGTCCATGCCTAAATCCATCGACATTGACATCGAAACTGGGGGTTCCGTTGCAGGAGCTGGCGCAGCTGGACAAAGCTCTGGATTAGGCGGTCCTAAGTCCGACTTTTGGGTTCAAAATTATCGATGCGAAAAAGAAATTAAAAACAAATTAGTTTCTTGTTCTCTCCGACCAAAAATGCACGACATCGAATAAGCAACAACTTACAAATCGTGTCCAACCAGCGAACTGTCCTTCTTGTAAAACGGGATATGCACCACAAGAGTTCGTAAAGGTAATCAGGTAGACGTTAATGATATCTTCACCGAACTTGTTTTTTCCAACAATATTCAATTGGATAGCTCGTGGGAGGTCATCCGAATTCACAATTTCTCCTGGGATGGCTGCGTAAGAAATATAGGAAAAGGTGTCTCCGTCCAAGTACGAGTCCTTGGGCTCAATGTTTTCTTGGACCATGACTTGTAGATTCTGATTCAATTCGAGGATGTCGATCGATGTCACCGACACCGGTACAAGATCCGCAACTTCGGGGCTACCAAAAGGACTGACCATACAAGTTGTCGCAGCAACGGCATCTCCAAGCGTAATATTTACCGGCGGGCAAGTGAGAGAAAAGTCTAATGTAAATTCGTATGCGTTTGGAGCGCAATAACATAATTCTGAGCCGATATCTTTCTGTAAAGCTCTTGTTTCAGCTCCCGACAAAGAGAAGAAAGTCGCGAAAAGAGCCGCAGTGAAGCCCAAAGTAAACCGCATGTTATGGAGTTGCATTGTGGTATTCTTCTTTATCAATGAAAGCAGTAGATGTGCTTCTTCGATGCGTTTCTAGTTTGAAGTTTGATGAAATCAGATTTTGTGAACAATGCAGGGAGTTTTGTCGTTTTCTTTCGATATGCAATGTTAGATTGTGGCATAGTGCAACGGCTCGACGAGTTGAAACGACGAGTGAGGAGGACTGCAAAATTCTTGACGTCGACGAAAACTTGTGAGAAATCTTAACGGAAGGCGGCGCGTACCTCCAACAATTTTTGTGGAGGCGGGCGAAAATTGTCCGTGATTGGACGCACATTCCAGTCGTCACCTGTCACGCGTTAAACTTTTCACGTAAAATCGAGCAAAACATTACTATCGTTTATGACCGTAATTTCGGTCTGCGACGTGCATTTGAGATTTCAAATTTTTTCTGAATTAGAAGCGTCGACGAAAAACTCGAATTCATTTTTCTACGACCGACACTCATGATTTTAAAATAGTCAATTACATCCAACAACTTAACAGCAGAGTTCTTAATTCAATGACTCATCGGTATTTATGACAGCAACTTCAATCAAATCACGAACAAACCAAGAATTTCTTTTAAGAAATTAAAATTTCTTGCAAATTTTTATGGCACAGAATGTAACGTTTGATGTTATATCATGGTGAACCATCAGAGTGTCAAGATCATCGAAATGAACAAAAGATCTATCGCGGTACATTGTACCACATTTGACGGGGGAATGGGTTTCAGCAAAAGTTGACTATGGATGTATGATTGGAAAGAATGCAGTCGTCGTCAGTTGCAATCTTGTAATACTCCGATCGAGCGAGAGAACAACACCACAATTCCACTCATGGTTCCACTCAGTGCACGCAGCTCGAATCGATGCTGTTCTTTCATACTTCATGGTAATCAATCACTCCGAAATAGACTCTAGACCTTGTATTAGCACTACAAGCAGTAGTCATGCACGACTGAAGAGGAAGAAATCCACAACGACAGTCTTTCGGCAATATCGACGAGAAACAAGACAAAAGTGCTAGAATTGCATCCATACTATCCTCAACGGGCTCGAGACGAAGACAAATGCTTCTTGATAAGACTAACACGCACATGTCTCATGGCAAAAGCATCGAGAAGCGAGGACCGTATCTGTCAAGAGGGTTTCCAAAATGTGACTCAAAGGAAGAATAAACACTACCTAAATTTTGAATCATTGTATTTTTTGGCCCCTCGAAAGATTAAGGTTTGAAATACGTAGTTAACGAACTCTGCTACCAGTAGTGCTCGTAATCACAAATACGGCCTTCTGGTAGACCATCTTAATGAAAACTACTTTCTGAAGAATACTCGGATGTAATCCATGGAACACATAATTTCTAGCAGAAGTTTAAGGGAGCTTACTCGTCCACAAAATGTACAAATCGTTGCTGCAGAGCCACGGCCTCCAACAGCAGCCACAACCAACACCACTAACTTCGTTTTTTAAAATTTTGATCTTGGAATGCCAGCTAACGCTTCGAAGGATTTCGTGATGCGTGATGTTTCATGTTCTTTCTTTAACGCCTAACGGTATTCTATCAAGCCATAGTATTAAAAATAGATAAAATGTCTCAAGTGATTCTATCCCCAACTTGATCCAATTATTTTAACTTTCGAAGTCTTACTTTTACGATTAATGACTCGAGGTTTTCAAATAGACCATAATTTACTGGTCTTGACTTGCATACCGTACGTCATGAGATAATAATAATTAAGGAGATGAATGAAAAAAAATACCCTATTGTGTTTAACACTATGCCAATTTGATAAAATTATACGAATGAAAATTTTCATCGAATCATATTTATGACTGTGCTCTATTTGATTGAATAGGTTTAAATAGCCTTTCTTGTTGAAGTGAATATCAATGATAGTTCGAAGGAAACGTTATGGGGCAATTAATTTATTGGTGCGGTAAGGTACCTTTGCTTTGGGCATATTTACTTTTGAAATAAAGTCGAATTCGTGTTTGTTAAATCGACTCCAAGATGCACCGTAGGAAAAAATAATCTTGAAAGTTCGAGTCTCATACCGTTTCTGTTTCAGCCCTTCCGTTACAGTATTTTGACAACTCTCTTAGCGACCCACAAGCTTTCAAAAATCAAATCCTAAAGAAAGTGTTCTCCTCCTCAACGATGAATGCGACTATGGATGTCGATACTGTAGACTTGTTACAAGACTGTGTTACAACTGACTGGTGCCAAAAGGAAGTTGTAACAGTTGGTGGGAGGATCGAGAAGGCGGTGGAGTATGTGGATTTAAGCGATAGTGTTCATACTAGCATGAGTACGAGCACAAACTCAAACGCAACGATTAGTACAAGCACTCATACGAGCATAAACACGAGCACTCACAGCAACGATTCGGTCACTTTTGCCAAAACGAGACGGTCGTGGAAAAGGCCGAAAGACAAACCAATGCGCCCTCTGAGTGCATACAACATGTTCTTTCGTAAGTAATTTATGATTACTACTGTTGGTGCTGTAATTCCATCCGCTTGTTTTGTACCAATCGATGCCTGTAGAGGCTTTGTATTTCCACTGTTTTTGCCCTCTTTTCCTCATGGTTTTCTTGGCATTTTTGATTTGATTTAATGAAGAAAATATGCGCGAACGAATTGTGGCTGGAAATCTGACGGATCTAACCGCCGAAGAAGTCGAAGTCAGCGTCCAGACACTCCTGAAATCCAAAAAACGCGGCCCCAAAAAGCGACAGGAACGAAAAAGTCACAATCAAATCAGTTTTGGAGATCTCGCACGTACCATCGCCACCAAGTGGAAGGCGATCGAACCTGACATTAAAGCAGTATATACCAAGTTTGCCAAGGCAGAAAAATCCCGGTACACGAAGGAAGTACTGGCTTGGAAGAGAAAGAAGGAAAGCGAACTCCATGCCGCAGCTTCGAGGCCTCGAACGGGAAATGGAAGCAGCACACACAGCTTAAGCACTGCAAGTCTTAGCCAATCTTGGAAATCTCTCTCCCTACAGGGCTCGTTCTCGAATGGTACCAACCAAGCAGATTCTTCGAGCTCATCCCTTGACGAGGTACTCAAGCGGCAGCGAGACATTTTGGTGGAAATGGGGTTTCCTGAAAAAGGTTTACGTGAAAGCGATGCCGTTGCAAGGCAGGTGCCAGATGCAGAACAGGATCCATGTCTCCAACAGCGGCGTGCAACCGGTTTCTTCCGAACTGGAGATCCCATTGGTTGTCAAAACTCCAATACCAATGGTTGCAATGGGGACGATAACATTAGCCAAAATTGTGATACATTGCCTGAGAACATAATGTTTGGTGACTGTGGCAGCGAAGAGCAGCGGCGGCGGCGGCAGCAGAGGGATCAAAAGCATTGGCATCAGCAACATCAATCACAACAAGAGCATCAACAGCATGATGTGGAAGATTTTCAGGGGAGTGAAGTTGCGGAATCACAATTACAACCACAAACCAAAGGACAGCATATTCTTCTGCGATTACAAGAACAACAGCTGCAACAACTCTGGGAATTGCAGAAGGCTCGGGACGAAACTAGTCGTATGAGTAACATCACCACTACAAATATACTGAGCCACGTGCGTCAACCGAGGATAAGCAATTGTGACCATTCAAATGCATTACATTTGGGGCAACAGCAGCAGCGATCACGAATAGAAAAGCTTACGGATTCGCAGAACCAATGGTTATCCATGATGGAGCAGTCGGATTTGGTCCAGCTCAAGCGACTTGAAGAAATCACCAAAAAGCTGGACGATCTGAAGGATCAGCAGCGACGTCTGAAGCAGCTCACAAAGGATTGTCACGACATGGACGAATCAATGTTTCGCGACGCTGGCAGCAATCTTGCTAAGTCGATCTCGAAGACCTACGATCGAATCAGCAACAATGATTTCTCTGCCAGCACAAGCTCTGATTCTCCGAACAGTCCTGTCTTTGTCCGATGCCAACTCAGTACCAGACAACCGACGGGTGGTTTGCTCCCCGATGACATTGCTGAGGGACATCTCCTGGGAGGAAACAACAACGGTCTTGCTGCCGATTTCAACCAGGCTTGTAGGCTAAACCAGGCGTTACAGTTTGAGTCAGCGTTTCTCTCTCAGCCATGTTGTGAATCGATGCGAACGGAAGATGGTCGGTTGGGTTCTGAATAATGCTGCGGTGAATGCAAAAAAGGTCGAAGAGATCAACATCAATACCATCTCAAGTAAAACCACACATCAAAAGATCAGAAGAAGGAGATTACACAACAAAGGAAATAGAGAAAGAGATAGTTTTCTAATGTAATCCTAGACTACATCTCATAGTACTTCTTTTTATTCAGGTCAGAACCTTATCGGCGTCTCTCATCTTCGGCACCGTATTTGGCAGAGTAGCGTCTCGTAGTCGTATTGAGCGGCTCGTGTCATACAGTACCAATGACTCGTATCAACGGCACTTGTATCATTGTCAATCAACCTAGAACTGCATTTGCAACTCGCAACCCAAAACCCAAAGCTATTGTGGAACATCCGGACGCACCCTCTATTGGAGAAGATTGGGATTTATGTTTACTACAGTAGAAGTATTTTGTACTTCGTAATTGGTACTCGAATGCGGGAAGCCTAGACAAGGTATGTACGTACCAGTATCTGATATCGTACGTACCTTGTACTTACCGGATCATGGAACCGGATGCCGGATGGGACGTGTGATTTTTGAGGCGTCATCCATCGTCCATAAATTATGGCCCCACTACGGATAGCGGGAATGGATTCACAGGACTGAAATCTGCGTCTGTCTTGCACATGTGACACATGCATCGACCGTCCCATCTCCCATCACCATCAAAATCAAGGCGCGAAAGGAACTTTTAGGCGGCATCATTTTTATGCGGATCACAAAGATCAGAAGCTGGTGAACGATTTTTTTGCCTCAATTTTTTCATGGCACTCGCATCTGGCCTACGTGCCTTACCGTACGGCACAGTACGATACCGAAGGGGACTCCGAGTTATCCGAGGTATGACAGCCCGTCGTGGCCCTTACCTGTTTTGGTTCATCACCACAAAATAGTTTGTTCCGAGCCGAAATTCAGATCAAGACACATACTGCACTTTGTAGTATCAGCAACAAGTGCCACTCTTTCCATTGATCTCATATTTTACAAAACATATTGAGAAAATGAAGTACATAGTCGTGACAGGAGGTGTTGTGAGTGGACTCGGGAAGGGAGTTACCATCAGCAGCATGGGCCGATTGTTACAGGCCTGTGGGCTTCGCGTGACAGCCATCAAAATCGACCCCTACTTGAACGTGGACGCCGGAACAATGTCTCCCTTTGAGCACGGAGAAGTCTTTGTCCTGAACGACGGAGGAGAAACAGATTTAGATCTGGGAAACTACGAGCGATTTTTGAATCTCCAATTGACTCAAGACCACAACATCACTACGGGAAAAGTCTACCGCCACGTGATTTTGAAAGAACGGAGGGGAGACTATCTGGGAAAAACTGTGCAGGTGGTGCCCCACATAACCAACGAGATTCAAGATTGGATCGAGCGAACCGCCAAGATTCCCACCGACGACAGTGGAGAAGTAGCCGATGTTTGTCTTATCGAAGTCGGTGGAACCGTAGGGGATATCGAATCCAGCGTCTTCTTGGAAGCCTTGCGACAATTCCAGTTCCGGGTCGGGACGGAAAATTTCCTCCTGTCGTTCGTCAGCCTCGTTCCGATCTTGTCGGACGAACAAAAGACAAAACCAACCCAACACGGTGTCAAAGATTTGAGATCGCTTGGGTTGTCTCCCTCCGTGATCTTTTGCCGATGCAAAGCAGAACTCGAAATTGCGACCCGACAAAAAATCAGCAACTTTTGTCACGTCCCCGCCGACCACGTGCTGAGTGTTCACGACGTGAAGAACGTCTACCAAGTGCCGTTGTTGTTGCAGCACCAGAAACTCCACAAAATGATTTACCAGCACCTAAACCTCGAATCCCCCTGCGAACCCGATCTCGGCGAATGGGAACGCGTCGCAAACTGCATGGAATCGTGGACGGATACCGTCCAGATTTGTCTGATCGGCAAATACAACGGCCTCCAGGATTCGTATCTCTCCATCATCAAGGCCTTGAGGCACGCAGCCATCTCCTGCGAACACAAGCTCGATTTGCAATGGGTCGAGGCCACGGACCTGGAGGAAAACCAAGACACCATGACGGGCGAAGCCTGKGAAAAGGTCAAAAACTGCCAGGGGGTGATTGTCCCGGGAGGATTCGGAAATCGCGGTTTCAACGGGAAGGTATTGGCCGCCAAGTACTGCCGGGAAAACGGCAAGCCCTACCTGGGCGTCTGCCTCGGCTTTCAGGCCGTTGTGGTCGAATACGCCCGCAACGTGCTGGGTCTGGAGGGAGCCAACTCGACCGAATTCGACGAAGAGTCCCCGCACCCGGTGGTCTTTTTCATGCCGGAAATCGACAAGGAAACCATGGGAGGCAACATGCGACTGGGATCCAGGGTCACCAAGTTTACCCACCCCGTCCTCGACCCTTCCACCGGTGCCACCAGCATCCTCCAAAAGCTCTACGGAGGCGCCGACATGATCCACGAACGCCACCGCCACCGCTACGAGGTCAATCCCGATTACGTGGACAAAATCCACGACAGCGGATTGAAGCTGGTCGGCCGTGACGAGACGGGAACCCGCATGGAGGTTGCCGAAATCTCTGGGCATCCCTATTACGTCGGCGTCCAATACCATCCCGAGTTCAAGTCTCGGCCTCTCATTCCGAGCCCTCCCTTCCGTGGACTGTTACTGGCTGCCTGTGGCCAGCTGGAATCGCATCTGGCGAAGCAATCCTAAGAAAGACCAGAACCACACTGGACGAGAGAATACCCAGGAAGAAAAAAAAACAGCGGACTGTTGTAGCACGGCTCGTGCTTGCGGCGAAACTACGGTTCGACGCCCGGCATCGGAGGCCGGCAGTCCAGATAGGTGGTCGTCTCTGAGGTCAAACGATCACGATTGTGCGTGCCTTTCGTTGGGCCTCGTTTAGCTAACATAACAAGGGGGAATGAAACGAACGCGATTCATATCATTACAATCCGAGTGCCAGAGGCATACACACACGCATGCAGTTTTAAGCCATTTTCCTTAGGCCAACAGAAAACCCTTCTCTTGTGGTTGCGCTTCGTCCATTGCAACCGCGTGCGATGCACTTCGTACGGACTGCGAGTGGGAAAGCACACCGTGTACCGTGTGCTTTGCGTCGGTAGTCCGTCGTCCTCGTGGCTGGTCTGGTCTGGTCTGGTCTGGTCTGGTCTGGGCTGGGCTGGGCTCTTTCACGGAAGGCAGGAGCATTGCACTGCACCTCCGGGCGAAAGGATCCCGGCTTTCCTAGTGCCTCTCCTAGCTCGAAAGGCTCCACAGCATCTGGATTTGTTTTGTACCATACCATACTGTACCGTACCGTACCGTACCTAGCTACAACCAACGAACAAATATGAACCCGGTATCGTTCGGTGGCAGGGGGAGAAGGAGGAGGCCGGGGCTCGCCTTTCTTCTGCCACAGCACCCCTCGCCGCCACCACCATTATTGGTATGGCTATGGCTACTGGTGCTGCTAGTGTTGCTGCTACATGACAACTTGTCAGCGGTGCCGTGTTGCGTAAGATTGCATGGGCAAAAGAAGAATTCTTGTCTGCGAACGGAATCGTCATGTCCAAAAAATTTATTCATTATATGTGTTTGTGAAGGATTATACGTTATACTATGGATTTTCATCCGCCCGCGGAGGCCGGATCTTGCAAAATTGTTCGAGCGCTCGCCAACAAACGATGCCATCGTGTGTGCTCTTGTCTCGTGCCGTGTTGTGCCGTGTTGTGCCGTGTGGCTTGATCCCCCCACCGCTGCTAGCCGAGGCGGAAGAGATCGAGGTGGGCGAGGTTGGAGATGAGCTCCCTTCGTTTCGCATCGACGTTGCCGGAGCAAAAGACCTCGTCAAAGGGAACGGGATCCAGTCCCCCCATGTCGGCGTCCTCGTCCTGCTGCGGCCGGACGCTGCTTCCCCGGGCCACACCGTGGTCGCCTTCCCCGTGTGCGTTTGCGTTTGCGTGTGGGTGGGCACCGTACCGGTGGAAACCCTTTGGCCCGCAGCGGTGGAAGCCCCCCGGTGCACCGGTCGGAATTCTTGGAAGCATCTGCATCGATTGTTTCGACGGCTCTGGCGTGACGGGGGCCACCATCGAGAAGAGGAGGGAGCAGGGGGAAGATCGGTTGGAACTTTCGTGGTTGGCGTTGGCGTTGGCGTTGTTGGTGGTAGTGCCGTGGTTGGGATTGTTGGCATTGCCGTCGGCAGAGTTGTTGCCAGCGTTGTTGCTTCTGGAGCTTCCGGCCCGGGACAGGTTGGTGGCGGAGAGCTCGTTCTTGAGCCGGTTGATCGAGTCTTCGAGGCGGCGGTTGCCGGCCCAGAGGTCGACCCTTTCGTTAGCGGTTCCGGTTCCGCTGCGGCAGGAATCGTCGATTTCCCAGATGCTGCTCGTGCCGTTGCACCAGTGGCTCGCGCTGCCCCGGGCACCGCTCGGCTCGGGGTCGGTGGCGAAGAACCGGGGGCGTGTCTCACCAATGCGGTGGTGTTGCTGTTGTTGCTGTTGTTGCAGCTTCTTCTGGCGAATCTGGCGCTCGACCTCGTGGATCTCTGCCATGAGCTGCCGCTCTTCGTCGTCTTCCGTTGGAGATGCAGTAGTTGCGGTAGTTGCGGTCTCGAGGCTGTGGAAGTTCGAGCCGACGGAGTTGAGAGAGTCCCGGCGGGAGTAGCAAGAGCTGAGAGACTCCCGGCGGGAGTAGCAAGAGCTGAGAGACTCCCGGCGGGGCTGTCCCATTGCGTGGTTCCTATCGTCGCTGTGGTAGTTGTTGCTGTTGCTGTTGCTGTTGCTGTTGCTGTCCATGTTGATGTTGATGTTGATGTTGATGTTGCTATTGGTGCCTGGTAGTGCTGGTGGCGATGGAGTTCGCCTCGCTTCCTCTCCCGTGTCCGAGAGATTGGCGGAAGTGCAGGTACTCCCCGTGAAGTTGCTGTGGGAAGACGAGTGCGAGCAGTGGCTGGTGATGCTGGCATCGAGGTTGGAATGTGCATGTGCATGTGCATGTGTATGTGTATGTGTATGGGCATTAGCATGGGCATTAGCATGGGCATTAGCATGGGCATTAGCATGGGCATTAGCATGTGCATTAGCATTAGCATGTTCATTAGCATGGGCATTAGCATGTGCATTAGCATGGGGAGTCCCGCTTGCGATCCCCACCATGGGGGAGTTGCTATTGCTGTTGCTGTTGCTATCAATGTCATTGCCATTGATGCCATTGGCACTGCTATTGATGCTATTGCTACTGATGACATTCCCACAGATGACATCAGAGCCCGCCAGCTCCCGCATCTTCTTGGCCTTCCAGAGGGCCACCTCCCGGCGGTACCGCTGCATGTCCAGGGAGGCGTAGTGATCGAAGAGGGCCCGCTGGTTGGTCCCGATGGTCTTCCAGCGATCGGCGATCCTCCGGGCCAGGTCCCCGAAGCTGATCTGCCCGTGGGACTTGCGGCTCTGCTTGGGCATGGTCGAGTTGACCACGATGTGCTCGATGGAGAGGACGGTTTCGGCCACGGTTCCCTCCTCCGGGAGGCCGCGGACGATGCGGGACCGGGTGTGCTTGAAGAAGATGTTGTAGGCGCTCAGGGGGCGCTTGGGCTTGTCCTTGGGTTTCTTCCAGGTGCGGCGTTTTTGTTTTGGTTTCTCTTTTGGCGTTTGCTTTGCTTTTGCTTTTGCTTGTGCTTTTGCTTTTGAGTTTGGATTCTGCTTGGGGGCTTCCTCCGGAGGTTTTGCTGCGTTCTGCGCCTGTGCCTCTGATTGTTTTGGCTTCGGTGCCTGTTTCTGCTTCTGCTTCTCCTTCTGCTTCTCTAGCGCGGAGGCCTGCTCCGGTTGTGCCGAAACGGGCTCGGAAGGCTCGGTGGGTCCGCCAACGGGAGAAACAGGAACAGGGACAGGTACAGATGCGTATTCGGTGCTCTTGGAGGAAGCTTCGGGGGCCTGGGAAGCCGCTTCTTCGTGGTCCATGGGGATGGCAGTCATGATCGTATCCTATCGTATCGAGTCGATTCGATTCGTGTGTCTTGGTAGTCGCGCTCGGAAGAAAGGGAAGCGTCTTGCTTGGTCTTTTTTCGAGGTTGATAGTCTTGAGGGTAGTCTTGAGGGTACGGTAGTCGTGAGGGTACGGTAGTCGTGAGGGTAGTACTATTCGATTCGGTTCGGYTCGGCTCGGTTCTATGCTGCACGTTTCTATTGAGAATGGATGCAAGGAACGCGATGCAATGCAATGCGACGAAATGAAATGCAACGGAGCGGTGTGGTGTTAGTTGGCAAACGGCAAGAATGTGTCAGCGGTTCCGTTCGTTCGGGGCCTTTTCAAAAGTAGGCGTTCGGAAATAGTGAAAGAGAAACAACAATGCTGTGCTTGTTTTGTTTTCGTAAAAAGAGAGAGAGAGAGAGATGCCGTCCATCAACAAATCAACAAATTAGCACTTACTCTGTTTTTTCAGAGCAACCGAAAACAATTTAATGGAATCCTCGACGGCAAATATAAAAATACAATCAGTACACAGGGTCCCGTAATTTCCGTAAATGTTCGAATTTTGTTTGCTGTTTACTTAATATTCAGAGGAAAGATTTTCATTAGAACAGAAATCTCGAAGCGACAAAAGTATGTGCCTCGTGGAGTGTGCCTCTTTCCGAGGTTTTCCGGGAACCTTTTCCGCGAACAGGGCTTCGCACCCTTTACAAAATGCGTTCGCCTTGTACCGGCCGGTACGCGAATTAATAAATCGTGTTGAGGTTGGTGAGCCTACGAAGGGTTGAAGTGTCAGGACGGAAACTACTTAAATATTGGTAAGGCCAAGTTCCAGAAAGAAGGAGAAACCCATCCCCGCTTTGTTGTAGAGATTGTGTAGGGAGCTGTAGTGCGTTATTAAATCTTGCGCAAACAGAGTTGTGTTTTTGTTTTCAGTGTCACGTTGTCCTGACAAAAGGAATCCAAACATGCCCGACACGCCAAAAATCGAATCGTAGTCGCATAATTCATACTTGAATCTTTCCCCATTGGTAGCGTATCTCTATCCGATCAACATTCACAGTAAAATTCTATCTTCCAGGCGTACCACCCAAATTCAAAGAACTATTCCCGCATACAATGCACGTCTCGAAGCCCCAAAACACAAGGAACAGTCGGGATTGCATCTGCCCTCAGCGTACCATCTAGCGTCTATGGTACAAAAAATCCGACGCCTTAAGTTTTTCGTCAACGTGAAGCTTCTATTAAGTGAGGCGCATTCACACTTACCGCAAACGGATCACATATCCTGCCCTTGCCTTTTTGATCACAATAATTCGGGTTTGTTTTCAGAGCATGATCCAGTGGATTCATTCTCGGCTCCGAAAGGAAGCGCCGGATGCGTTCTTCCCTCGGTGATACCGTAGCGGGACCAGAATTTTCTTTTGCGAGAAACATCACTCTCTCAGTCACGATGGACACAAATAATTTCGCATCAATAAAAGCATCGATAAAAATTCTTTCTGATAATCGCTGAACAGAAGGAGCGCAAACGGCGGCGGTACTGTAGAGCTTGCTTTCTCGAAGGGTGACGCTTGCGAATTGCGTCTTCGGTGTGTTCTGCGCGTCTCGACTTTGAGAACCAATCATGTTGCACGTCTCGGAGCAGAAGTTTATCTTCCCAGTAGCAGTACGAGCATTGCCTGACATTTTGCCCTCTACGGTACGACTCAGTGCTTCCGAGGGGCGAGGAAGAAGGCAAACAGGTTGGTGTCGTTGCGGAAGTTTTCGAACACGGACCCTAGAACGCAAAGGCTGAAAGCACCGGCCGAAGAATATTGCTCTTGCGCCGTTCCTAAGGTGCTTTGCTACGACTAGTGCACTACTAGAAAGCAGGATAATAATATACTATAGCTACTAGCGGCTTACTTCCACCATTAGACTGTATTTGAACGAATAGTTGATTCATTGATTCGTTGTATCTCTCAGGTTTTTCTCCTTGTCGTCTCCGTTCCGCTGGCCATCGCAACTCATCATTGTTACAATCATGGAGCGCGTGCCTTGCGATATCGTTATAGCAGTAAAATTAAGCATCCGTACGGATGGGTTCTGTAACTCACAAACAAGCCGTACGGTAACGAACATGCGGTACCGTATGAGGAAGAAGAGTACAGTACACCTTCGTACCGTATCTTCTCGGATCGCGCCTTCACGACCGAAGTCCCGCATGAATAGCGCGTGCCAAATCACGAAAAAAGTTCCATGCTGTTCATTGATCCCAGCGCATGACGCTATCATGAGTCGATCTACTAAAAGAAGAACGATCCTCAAATCACTGATCTTTAAGAAATGGTTTTAAAACAGTAAGTAGAAAGTCACATCTGCGGAAGAGAAATTCCGTCATTTAATAAAAGTTCCATGCTGTTCATTGATCCCAGCGCATGACACTATCATGAGTCGATCTACTAAAAGAAGAACGATCTTCGAATCACTGATCTTTAAGAAATGGTTTTAAAACAGTAAGTAGAAAGTCACATCTGCGGAAGAGAAATTCCGTCATTTAATACGTCAATCGACGTCACACTCAAATGAATATTACGATTAGGATGATTCCTTTAAGTAAGCAACCCTCCAGTGGGATCGAGCCGCTGGATCACAATAAGTCAATCTTGCAAGGTCGAAGGAAGAGGTGCATACTTGTAGTCGTACGCACCAGTCTCGTGCCGGGCCGCACGTGAGAACCCATCACCGGGAGAGAGCCGGCCACAATCGATTTTGTCCGCTGTTCGACTCTTTCGACAAAAATCGTACGAACCGTATCAATCGGGTTTGAATACGGTACTGAACCGGAACCAAAATATGAAGAGCGGGCTCTACCGACGAAAATTCTCATATTTAAATCAAAATTCCCCTTGCCCCCCCTCTACTATTCTGGTGGCACAAAACCAATCCCCCACTTCTTTTTCAGAAGGCAAATCATGCTGAAAATGTTGGGGAGCAACACTCAGTAGAGCTGTGCAGAATTTGTACTGAAAAAATTAAGGATGGCATCATTAAATTTCTACGATGGGAACCACTTTCTTACTAGTACTACTACTAGTATTAGTGCAATGATCACTTGTTATGATATCCATGGTAGCTATTGGTTCAGGTGGCGGTGTGGATCATTGCTTGAAACAAGACTTTACAACCAGGAGAGATCCCCAATCACCAAACTACTAGTAAGATATTAGTACTAGTCCTCCTACTTCTTGTACTAGAAGTAGTAGTATGGTGGTGATTCAATGGGGAAATTCGTTAATTCAATTCCAGGAGCATTATTCTATTACTTTGGTTTGGGTCAAATCTTGAATCAGCCTCCAAAATCAAAAACTTCAGAACTGATTGGAAATTCCTTTGGAATTGCCATAGCAACAACAAAAGGGATCTCTGTTTATCCTTCACCTGGGTTTGCTCCTACACATCATGAATTGGGGGCTCTACTAGTACTACTAGGGTTCTGTTCTACAAATTAACAATTGGTGACCATTTGTCCCAAGAACTGGATGGTAATTCCAAAGTGATTTTCATCAGATGGTTTGGGTTGAATCTTGCATCAGTTTCTTCTGATTCAAACACAAATTTCAAAGATATCATGGATTGGTTTGTTGTTTGATTGTGTCTAGTAGTCGTTCTGGATTCCCTCCTCCTTCAGGATGCATTGAATGAAGAATTGGGGATGATTTCAGAATTAAATGGTAATTCCAAATGAATCCCCCAACAGTGTCATAGGAGTCTAGACTATGGTAACCCTAGTAGTGCTAGTGCTGTATAACTAGCACACCAGTGCTCAAAACCACAATAAGAGGAGTTAAAAATGCTTGCAATGTGACAGGCTTTTGAAAGCATGGTAGATAGACTCATTAAGTGGTCCAGCAGCAGTGTAGTACTGCACTTTCAGCAGTTGAGCAATTTTTTGTTATTTATTGTTGAGGTAGTAGCAACAATCAAGAAGAAGGCATCACAAAGGTTGGGTTTAGAAAATCAACCAGCAATCAAAAATGTGGTGGCACATAGACAACAAACAATGAAAAGGAAACAAACATGTTCAACGCAAGGGAAAAGGCTGTTGCAGGAAAAGAAAAAGGATATTAACATGATAGGAGTGTCAAAGAACACAGTAAAAAAGGGGACAGTACAGCAATATCAATGGCATAACAAGGCAGTATGCTACCACAAGTTATGGTAGCTTTGGTCCTTGCTGGTGGAGATAAAATTTTAGAACTGAACAATGGGTCATTCCCGTTATTCTAAATCTCTAAAACTCTAATCTAGAGATCTAGAGAAACGGGAATCAAGACATTCAACGGACAGACTGAGAGGATGCCAGCTTGATGCCAGTCTTTTCCGGAATTTGGAATCTTAACTATACTCTAAAAATAGGCGCGCGTGCTGACTAAAAAGAGGCACAAATTTTTGATACGTGTGTTAAGTCTTTCAAGGGACGACTGGAAAATATTTTATTCGTGGGTTCCACTCTAAATCTAGAGATTTAGGACCGGTCAAAGCAACCGGTCCTAAATGTGCTAAATCTACTAGAGTCAAAAACTCTAAATTCTGATGGACTGACAGACCGAAAATTTAGAGATCTAGAATAACGGGAATCACCCAATAAGTTGCTCTTCTTCAGTGCCTTTCAGATGTACAAAAAAAATTGTGGTGATATGAAATTTATGATTAATCAAGAAAAATCTGACAGTATCAGATACTTATCTCCTTGTTGTTGTTGTAGCAATCATTTCTACAGTAGTATCTGCTGGAGGTCTTTCTGGTACAGCTGCATTGTTTAGTAATGGATGTTCTACCAAAAACTCCTAGTAGTACTGCTACCCTGATCATTTAGTTCAAAGACCATGAATTCTCAGTTCTAGGACCAGAACCTTTTTTGAGGTGGCAGATGCTTCTTACTAGTATGAGTAGGGTATAATTTTTGTTTGTCACAAATAAAACACCCTTATATTCCTTTTCTATTGTACCCCAGCACTGTCAACCACTTAGTACAAATTTTACTTTTCTTCACTAGTACTACTATTATTAGTACTGGAATTAGTACATCCAGTACTACTACTAGATTGACAATAGTTTGTCAAATGATGATGATGATGATGATGATGATGATGATGAAGGACAATAATTCTTGTTGTTGAAAAGAGATGATTGGTACCATTTTCATTCTTGTTCTTATCTTTTGTTGCATTCATCAAAGGGAAATTCTGGTGAATGAAACAATTTTTTTGACTTCACAATCACATTTCACATCAGCACTACTAATCCTATGCATTCTGCCTACCTGTTGTGTGTTAAATTGCACTAGTGTCAAAGATTAAGTGAACATGGTGGCATACTTTTAGGTTAGCTCAAAGATCAAAATGAGCACATAGTATTTGGAAGCAGTACTACTACTAATATTAATATTATTAGACTAATGGATAGGTCAAACTTCCCTCAACCAACATTGGGTGGAACCTTCTTCCAGAAGCAAGGAGATAAAGAACAGAAGCACAGATGAAT